TCATCATTAATGGACACAAATCTGACATTAGAAATGGCAATACCCCAAAACCAGCTCCAGAACATTTCAACCTTCCCTGCTGGAATCTGTTGGGTCTTCCTAATCGGACTTACATTTGCAGGAATTAGAATTGCACAGTTGTGTAATATTTGTATCTAATAGAGGGCTGCTGTGACGTTGTGCCCAATACACAATGGGACTGATGTGCATCTCATTGATCCTGATGAGCATCAGGCAGGAATGTACAATCAGACACTGGAGATTATTGCACCACCAATTTCCCACTGGGATAGATGCAAGTTGTAACAGATCTTATCAGACAGCTCCATGGCCAGCAGTAGGCAGCCCGTATCCCATCCAGGCTTCTCCCACAGCTTTTAAAGAACAGGAAAATCCCATTTTTGAAAAGCTGCAGAAGTGCCTACTGCCTGGCCATGGGGTTGTCTGATAAGATCTACCTATTACAGTTATAATCTGCATCTATCCGGCCAGTATTGGCAGTATAATAATCTCCACAATTTCTGGTGTCCTGTTACATATTTTAGCAATTCAATAACCTGTTTTTATAGCTTCTATGCTACATAGCAAGGTATACTCAAAGTTATGTTATGTAAAAGATAATATAGGATTCTGGCAATTCTTTACATCACTAGGGGAAAAAAAACATTTCAAGTAACAGTCTGACTTGCCACACATTACTGGGGGAAGAGTCAATAACAATGATAATCCTTTAGCAAATACAGGTTGGGTCACTCTTATCCAAAATGTTTGGGACCAGAAATGTTTTGGATTTCAGATTTTGGGGGGATTTTGGAATATTTGCATATACATAATGAAATATCTTGGAGATGGGACTGAAGTCTAAACGTGAAATTCTTTAATACGTATTTAGTATACAGCTTATACACATAGTCTGAAGGTAATTTTATGCATAATATTTTTAATAATTTTGTGTATGAAAAAAAAGTTTGTGTACACTGAACCATCAGAAAACAAAGGTACCACTATCTCAGTTACCCATGTGGACAATTTTGGATTTTGCAGTATTTCAGATTTCAGAATTCCTGGTATGGGAGACCAGGAACCTGTAGCATAATGAGTGATGATATTGTTCCTCCTCCTCCACTTGACAACACTAGGCTTTTATATACTTCTACCAATGGGTTTCCATGCCTGAGCAGGGATTTGAACCCTGCTTGTCAGAGTCATAGTTCAACATTCAAACCACTACATCACACTGGCTCCCATCCCTGGAATAAGTGAATCAAGTCAATAGATATGGATTAAAATTTATTTTTAGCTCTTCACTGAGTTCTGTTGGCTTGAACTAGTTTAAGTCCAAGTGGCTTGGCTGGCAAATACTACCAATGTTATTCTCTTGCCATCTCTTGCTATTTGATAGTTTGGGCAAGTTCTCATACAAGGAAGTATGTATGTGTATGTGTGTGACATAGTATAACCAGACCAGAAAGGAGGGACTTGCCATTTTGCAAGGTCTCCTATTTTCTGTTCTGACTCCTGTCGATGAAGCTGCAGGCTGTTCTGTCTGTCCCTGGTTTCCTGTGTCTGGATTGGTTTGAGGTCGAGAGTGGTTTCCTGTTTCTTTGAAGCTCAGGGCTGCTCTAATTGAAAAGACATGTCTTTCAAATATGTGTCCAGTATGGTTAAAAAGCAGTCCAATGCTCAGTGCTGATAGCCTCTAAGTAAATGGAGAAGGCTCTGAAGGATAATTAATTATAGGAAATGACTGAGTTAATGTCTGAAGTGATGAACAAAATTCCTCCATTTCTCCTGAGATGGCTTGGAAGGATTACTGGCCTGTGGTAAGATGTGGAGGAAACCAGGACAAATAAGAAATATTAATGGAAGCAGAGCAAAGTACTAACTCTTTCCAGTTGTACTGCAGCTGATTGGTGTCTACAAAGAGAATGAACAGATTAGTCTGTAGGTTAATGGTACACGTTCAGTGCAAGAGGGCCACTGAGGATATTTTCCAAATTCATACCATACTTTAAGAGGATAGTTTTGAAAGGAGGGAAGGTCATGATGTGAAGTGGTTTCAGAAGCACTTAAGGCAGCCAACCAAGGAGTTTTGTGGTGTGAGCATTGGTCCCAAATTAAGGAAGTTCTGTTCTGGAGAGATCTGACCTGAGCAGTCAATTGGTTTGAAACATGAAATTTTGGACTACAGAATGTGTGGGTAAGCATACATATGTGCAGATGCATACACAGGAATGTTTGGTATGATCCTCATGCCTCTGAGTTTATAAAACTTCTTACACATTTAGTGTAAGTGACACATTTTATAGTTCTTAGGAGATTAGCATACTCTTTTTAATTGCCTTATCACTAACAGGATAGAGGCACATTTAAATTTACAAACAGGTTTTATTGCATTCACCCATGGCTGGGTGAATGCAGCCCACATACAGCCTGGATGCCAGCAAATGCAGCCCGTATACAGCCCAGCTGGCATCTGGGCTTATTCTGCAGCTTTTCAAAAATGGGATTTTCCAGTTCTTGAAAAGCCGCAGAATAAGCCCAGCTGGCATCTGGTCTGTATATAGGCTGCATTTGCCTAGCCACGGTGAATGTGATAAAACTCATTTATAAATTTAGACGTGCCTCTATCCCATTGGGGATAAGGTGCTTTAAAAGGAGTGTGCTAATCTCTTTAGTCGCCTTTGTCAACTCATGGCAAAATGAGATTAAAGCTAACATCACATTCTTAAGGTTTACTCAACTTTAGTCAACCATACCTTTAGAAGGTCATATGCAGGTCCCTTCATTTTCAAAGGCTAAAAGATTATGCCAGGTCACATAAGAACCATATATGGCAATGCACAGCAAATTTAGAAATATAATTTGAATAGAAATGCAATGGATGTTACCCTACTGGAGCAGATTATGACTAACAATGCATCTACACTGTATAAATAATGCAGCTTGACACCACATGGCTCCATCTTACAGAATCCTGGAATTTAGACTCTTTTCCTGCAGTTTAAATCTGTTGCTCTGGGTTCTATTCTCTGGAGCTGCAGAAAACAAACTTGTTCCATCTTTTCAAATATTTAAACAGGACTATCATGTCACCTCTTAAACTTCTCTTCTCCAGGCTAAACATACCCAGATTCTTAAATCACTCCACATAGGTTCCAATTTCACCCTTTTGGTTGCCCTCCTCTGGACATGTTCCAGCTTCTCAACATCCTTTTTGAATTCTAGCACCTAGAACTGGATACAGTATTCTAGGTGAGATATGACCAAAGAAGAATAGAGTGGTACTATTAACATTACTTCCCTCAATCTAGACACTATACTTCTCCCTGTTGAAATTCATTCTCCCTGTTGAAATTCATTTTGTCAGTTTTGGCCAAGTTTCCTAATCTATTAAGGTAATTTTGATCCTGTCCTTTGGGGTAGTAGCTACTCCTATTTTGGTGTCATCTACAAATTTCATAAGCATGTCCTTTATTCCATCATCCAAGTCACTGATAAAGATGTTGAATAGCACTGGGCCCACGACAGAACCCTGTGGCACCCCACTGGTCATTTCTCTCCAGGATGGAAAAAAGAGCCAAATAGGATTTTGTGTTGGTGCATGCCTTCAAGTTGCTTCTGACTTATGGCAGTCCTAAGATGAAACTATCATGGGGTTTTCTTGGTAAAATTGGTTCAGAGGACGTTTGCCTTTGTCTTCCTCTGAGGCTGAGGAAGGGTGACTTGCCCAAGGTCAATCTGTGGGTTTCCACAGTCAAGCAGGGATTTGTATCTGGTCTGCAGAGTCATAGTCCATCACTTAAACCACAACACCACACTGGCTTGCAAATCAATCTATATATTTTATGTTATTGTTGAAAAGTATTGTGAGTACTCCTCCTTACACAAACAGTAAAAATAACAGCTTTGCATTTAATATAATGCCACCAAGCTCTGCATTCCTCACCACCATTGATTAAAGTATATTTAAGGAATGTTTTGTACACATTTGAAAAGCAAGCATTCTGTATGTACACTCCACCCCTCACCTATCCTTCTTCTATTTTCTGTCAATGCCAGGATTTTACTGTGAAAACAGCACCCAGCCTGTGGACAGTTCAGGAAGTGTGGATCAAGACAATCTCATGGAATCACAGATTTAAAGTAATTTCTCATGTATGGCCCATGATTTCTGCCTGTAGGAGAATACATGAATGTTTGCTTTTGCAGTGTCTCAAGTAATGGCATATAGAAACATACAGATCTAGCATATTTAATACAACTTTCAATATGATTCCCTCTCCCCATTTTAGAAGTGTTGGGCACTGAAGTGTTTTTGCTAAAGTACAAGCTTCCATTTGCTGTTAAGAGTTTTAATTTCCACATCTCCTTTTCCCTGTTTTGGGAAGTTCACTCTCCATTTGCTAACCTAATGGGCTTTTGCAAATGTGGCAGAGATTTGCCTCTTATGATAACTGTCCTTCTGAAGGTCAGGAGAGCCCTTGTTGTCACCATCTTCTTTTTCATGAGAAGCACTGAGGAGCAGGTGCAACTCTCTCAGCGTGGACTCTGCAATGTTTCCACACAGTGCATCCAGAAAATGCATGCCTTCAGGGTAGAACAAAATTATCAGTGTTCCCCCATGAGGGGCCTGCACCTCAAGAGGCTACAGTCAACTACAGAGCAGTTAGCTGCATGGCCGAGCACTGGCAGAAAATGCTTATTTCAATTGTGGCAACTGCCACTCAGAAGGTATGCATTTAATCTTGAAGGATAGATGTCTCAAGACATCCTCCCAGAGTGACACAGAGGCCTGGGATGTATAGGAGGCATTACTGGAGGGTGACTGTGAGAGGAAAAATGTGTCCTCTCAAAAGGATGGGGGTTGGAGTTTGGACAATTAAAAAAAATGACTTATAAGCATAACGCCTTTTTGCTCCTGAAGGTTCTGACACATTTGGAAATCAAACTGACAAAAGGGACAGGGAAGAGTGGGAGGTCAGTAATTATGCTCTGGATAGGCAATATTCTTTCCTTTTTCTTTTTTCCCTGTGATGCATTGATTTCTGTGGTGATTTTAGAGATGAGAAATGAAGAGTTTATTCCAGGGAGTCCATAGCTGGGATGTTGTTTGGGTCTGTCACACAGAAGGACAGAGTTATAGTACCATTCGTTTAGAAAACTGAAAGGTGTGTGTCTGTATGTCTGTGTGGTGGGGAGAATAGTGAAACCCATAAACTTTGCCCTTTAGCTCCTTCCAACATTTACCCTCTAGCTCTCTAAGTATAGCAGTCAACCTGAAAAGAAAGGTGGGCTATTGTAAGCCCTGTATTTCTCCTCCCCCCTCATCCTGTAATTTAAGCACTGACTTTAAGCTACTCCATTTTAAGAGCTTACTATGATATTCCTGCAAGCATAAAGGGAAATGGTCATCTGTGGACTCTTCCAGATTGTTCTAAGAAGTGTGAGCTCTTATAATAGAATTATAGCTTTGGAAGAGAACACAGGGGCCATCCAGTCCAAACTCCTGTCATGTACAAACACACAATCAAACCATTCCAGAGATATGGCCATCCAACCTCTGCTAAAAACCTCCATAGAAGGAGACTCCACCACACTCCAAAGCAGCATATTCCACTGTCAAACAGCTCTTACCATCAGGAGGTTCTCTGGAGCAGCAGAAAACAAACTTGCACCATCTTCCATATGACATCCTTTCAAATTAAACAGGGCTATCATATCACCTCTTAACCTTCTCTTTTCCAGGCTAAACATATCCAGCTCCATTTTCACCATTGTGGTTGCCCTCCTCTGGACACGTTTCAGCTTGTCCACATTCTCCTTGAATTGTGGTGCCTAGAACTGGATACAGGTGAGGCAGAATATTGTGGCACTATTACTTCCTGTGATCTAGATACTGTGTCCTATTGATGCAGCCTAGAATCGCATTGACTTTTCCAGTTGCCACATTACACATTACACTACTGAATGTCATGGGCAGAAGCTGCAAGACTGGGACCTAGAGGAATGAGGAGGAGGCTGAAGAATGGAGCCAGGCATGTGTTCCAGACAGGAACAGCCTGCAGATCTCCCTGTTGCAAAGCAGCTTCAGCCAGAACAATCAAGGCAAGACTCACCTGGTGATGACGCAGAGGAGATAGCTGGGGTCCTAAGTCCACAAACAAGGGGGAGGTACAAAAGAATACAACAAAGGCACCCAGCCAGGCTGCAGGCCAAACAGAAACAGGGAAGCTCTGATC